AAAAAATGTAAAAATTTTTATTGGGTGGGGCTGGGGACATGTACGTGAATTCGACTAATCTTTCATATGCGCAAGGTATGAAATAATTAATCATTGATATAATATAACTGATCATAATATTATTATAACTATATTTGTAATATTATCTTTTATTGCCGTTACTATTTATCAGCAGTGATTTGTAAATTCTTTTAGAATTCATTTAAAAACTCAAACCAAATATTATTATCTAACCTAGTTAATAAAATATTTATGCCTAAAAATATTTTAAAAATTGGAAGTTTTTTCAAGACAATATATTACATTTTCTGTACCTTTATTATATTAGTATACATTAACTTCAGTATGTACAGCTGACTTATAATATTCATATATATTAATACAAGTTTTAAAACTCTTATAATTCGTTTGACATATTGCAGACACATTATTCCGTATTAGTCAAGCAAAATGTATTAATATTATCAACAATAACTTCATTTTTTTCTACATATGCTTAGAATATAGATTACAACTATACCTAGATGTTTAATAATTTAATAACGTTTCTAGGTATACAAAACAAACAGTTAGATGGTTCAATTTTGTTATAATATATTATTATGTGAACATTATTGTATTGTAATCTCTAGTAAATAGACAAGATGATGGACTAATGCAAATGTTTAATTTTATTTTTAGCAGTTTGTTTGAGTAAGATAATACATAAATAATTCATAAAAATAGTACTTAATGAACTATAGTACTTATACTTTATAGTTTAACAGTTACAGTTTACTTTATTACTTAATATTTGTTAAGGAAAACTTTTTTATTTACTCGGTAAAATTTCCTTCATTGTGTATTGTCGAAACAAAGAAAAAAAAATTAACTATGATTATTTATACAAGTATACGAGGAGAAGACACGACGTCTCTTCTTAGATTCCTTTTTGGTATGCAATGATTTATCATTTAATTCAAATGTAACACTAAAACATCCATTACAATGACTACACTTGTTAACCTTTTTAAATTTATTTTAAATTAGGTAATCAGATAAGTTTTTTTTTAAATTATTGACCACAACATTTTTTTGATCGATTGAAAAACTTAAAAATTGAATAATATTGAAAGATAACTTACTTGAAAGTGAGTTGTTATTAGTAGGTAGGATTTTTTTGAAATTTTAATTTCTAATCTACGATATTATACAATCTATACTAAAAAAATAAAAGTACAATTAGCATAAAGTATGTTTAAATTGAGTGCAATGGCTTGATTGTCTTGAAGGAAGAAACCGTCTAGTGAAGGTTCTTCGGCGTGAATTTACATTATTTGGTTATTTAAGTATTCATATTATGTTTACCTTATAAAGTTTCGCGGCCGTTTGGACTCAGCCATTTGGACGCGGCCGTTTGGGCGCGGGTACATTTGGACGCGAAAAAAACATAAATTATAATAATATTTATTTTCCGGGTATAGGGAAACTATACCATAATCATAATTGATATTATGGAATTCTTTATACCTATATTATATACTTATATATTATATCTATATAACATTATACTTTTATCATGATATTAGGGATTATCCGACGTTATCGAAAACGTTATTGAGAAATTATGATTAAAATCCACTCGCAACCAACGAAAACTTTAGTTGACCGAAAGCAGAGGTTAGATTTACGTTACTTTTATAATATAACAGCGATTTATTTAAACACAATATATAATATTTGATGTAGTTATGGCATTAATGAAGTCAAATCTTAATGAATGCATTTTTACTGAAAATTGTTTTCTAATTTATTTGACAATTGTACTGAAACGTATTAATGAACACACTCATGATTCGGAGGCTGCAAAAGTCGAGGCGATGGTTGCCATTAATCGTTTGAAAAATAGAGCGGCTGAAACCATGGAACCAACATTAACTGTAATCAACGAATGTATATCTGGATTATCAGAAGCGGCTAAAGTAATACTATTTTGTTATTAATTATATATATAAAGTAGTAAAAAAAAAATGTAGTTATTTATTTCATTCATTTTAATTTAGGGTGCAATTTCATCAAGTCTAGTATTGAACAAAGTAGTACGTTGGAAACGAAATGAAATTAAAGCATCACCAAATGAACCACAAGATTTATTAACTTTAGAAATTCCAGACTCCTTTAAAGTGTACTCACCATCAGCAAGTATGACTGAACCATTTTTACTAGACGATAGTGGCATCGATCGTATTTTAATTTTTGGAAGAAACCGTAGTTTAGACATTTTATACAATTCAAAAGTTTGGTACTGTGATGGAACGTTTAAAATCGCTCCAGTTATTTTTTCTCAAGTATTTTTCATACCTACTTGCTGAAACTTTGGGAGGTGTACACCCACTAATATAAGCTTTATTACCAAACAAACAAGAAAAAACATACACTCATTTATTTAAAATGTTAAACCAATTAAAGCCTGGATTAAACCCGACTTCAATATCTTGTGATTTTGAGCAAGTAATTCTAAAATCAATAAAAACTGAATTTCCTAGTACTGAAATATATGGTTGTCTTTATAATTTTTCCAAAAATGTTTATAAAAAATTGTGTGACTTAGGGATTGTGACAAATTATCGAAATAATTCTGATTTTTCAATATTGGTTAAAATGTTAGTAGCATTGACATTTATTCCAATTAATTATATTGATTTGGCAATCGAATCCTTGGCAGGATACTTACCAGACGAATTACAACCCTTACTAGATTGGTTTGAAAACAATTATGTGGGACTAATTAATAGAAATCGAAGAGGTCGTCGATTACCTTTATTTCCACCTAATATTTGGAACATGTATAACAGAGTTTTGAATGGAAAAAACAGAACCAGCAATCACGCCGAAGCTGCTAATCGAAGACTAAACATGGAGATGGGCGTTAACCATCCAAGTTTGTGGTCTTTTATAACGTGTCTTCAAAAAGTACAGTCAGGTAGAGACTTTTATTATAGTCAATTAGAAGCTGGAGATAGTCCACTTAAAAAATAAAAAAAATATATTGATGTTGATAAGAGGATTTTAAAAATCGTTCAAAATTATGAACAGAGTGGAATTCTGTCATTTTTGAGAGGGATAGTCCAAAATATTTCTGTACATTTACTTAGTAATTATCACATTTTTAATTGTATTGTAATTTGTATTTTTAATAACTGTTTTAGATTTTTAATTGTATTATATGAATACCCTAATATAAAATTACGAATAAAATAAATATATTATGATTTATGTTTTTTTTTGCTTCCAAATGTACCCGCGCCCAAAAGGCCGCGTCTAAATGACCTCGTGTCCAAATGTCTGCGTCCAAATGGCTACGTCCAAATGGCCGCGTCCAAACAGCCGCGTCCATTTGTCCCTGTTCGTGAATTTTCGTTTTGAGAAATTATAGAGAATAGGTCTGAGAGAGTAGAGTTGTTGGTTTAGATTTAATTTTGTTGTATGTATGTGTTTAGTCCATGTTAGACGTTTGTCGAATGTTAGACCTAGATATTTGGCTGTATCAGAGTATGGTATTGATTTATTGTTTATATGTACCGGAGGTGGTTGTCTGTGACGGAGAGCAAAAGTGGAACAAAAGATTTGTTTTCATTAATTTTGAAGCCCCAGAAGGAGTACCAGTGTGATAGGTCATTGAGGTAGATTTGAAGAGTAGATGAGGATTGGTGTGTGTGGCGTATATTGCTTTGTCGTCGACATATTCAGCTATTTGAGTTCGGATTGGTGGGTTGATCTGCCAAGTATAGATTAAAAAGAGTTGGTGATAGGACAGCACCTTGAGGAACGCCTGCTAGTATTGGGGATATATTGGAGTCTTTAGTTCCTGACTTGACAAGGAAGTGGCATTCATTAAGGCATGATTAAAAAAAAAGGTAAAATGAAGGATGTAGGAATGATTTTAGTTAGAAAAGAAGACCAGGGTGCCAGGGGATCTTGTCAAAGGCCTGTGCAACATTGAAAAATACTACAGAAGTGTACCTAAATTTTCTTTTACAGAGAACAAGCAATGGTATCGGCTAGTGGATGTATTTGGTGGATGGTTGAGTGATGTTCTCTAAATCTAAATTGCGTATCAGGAATTATTTTATTTTCCTTGATGATTGGGTAGATTCTGTTTAGTATTAGTTTTTTTCTAAGAGTTTCACAAAGAAATAAAGTAAACTAATAGGTCTGTATGAGGAGAGGTTATCTGTTTTGTTTGGTTTAGGGAAGAGAATAATTGTGACAAGTAGTATATATTTGTATGTTCACAGTTCGTTTTTCCACGGTATTTTTTTTTGTTCAAGTGGGAATGTTCCCCTCGGACGACTCAGAATTACCGTATCACACAATACGGTAATTTCACACTCAGTGTCCACCTATTTATCCCTCACACGAAAATATTTACCGTGTACACATTTTTTTTT